TGGCCTCCATTAAAAACGACCGACAGCTTGCGAAAACCAAAGGCAATGGGCATGCCAATGCATTGAACTTTTTTTATTTATAGATGAAAAATGGCGTTCAATGACTTTTCCATCTGTACTGGTCTCAAAAGTTGACAATTCAATAAACTTTTATTGAGAAATTCCTTTTCGATAAATAAATAAATTAAAATAAAAAAAATGTTTTTCAAAATTGTAATAAATTCAATTTATGTTACAAATTCTTTCAAAGCTGCAACTATTTAATATTAAATAAAAATTCCCAAGCTCCTATAAGCTCAAAGTTGCCTACGTTAAATATTTTTAAGAACACACATTTTAAACTGTTATTAAATAATATTTCGAGGACAAGTCAATATTCAACGAACGTTCTTGTTTACCAAAAAAAGTAGAGCAATCCATCCGCTTCCGCGGTAATAATATTTTATTGCCCACTGCCTGTTGACATGGCAAACAACTAAAAAATGGCAATTTGATGATTTATATGTTCAGCCTAAATGCGCTGGAACACTTTAATACGTGGCATGCCACTGGTGTTTGCCATCTCTGCTGATTTCACAACTTTTTGTGGTGTTCTGCCGCTTTGACTCTGCCTTTGTCACATTTATTGCGCTGGCATTGTTGGCATTTTGCAAATTAAACGGATTTCCGCCAAAGGCCATTTCCGCCCGATCCTGGTAAAATGCATTTCAAAGCGATTGCACTTTTTACCGTCGCCTCGCTTCGATTGGGTTCGATTCCCTCCTTTGTTGTTCGCTTTATTTATTTTTTATTTAGTGTCAGTTTTTTTAGACTTCTGACAAATGTTTTTCTTCTTTTTTGCTGCTGCTGCTTGGGTATTTGTTTTATGCTAATAAAACCAGATAGTATGTGCACAACTGGTCCAAGGATTGTTGTTTAGAGTAGTTTTTTTTCTGCTCCAGATGTCTTCAACAATGACAGCCCCTGAACTATTTTGTACCATATCTACTTTCGAATTAAATGTTATTTTATTTCTAAATTTATGTTCCATTAAGCAGAAACTTTGAGCTGTGAGCTGTCTGTGGTTTTATTTATTTTTGCCATTCAGCATCATGTTGATAACTTCATTACACGAACTAAATGTGATTATTGTTTTTGATATGCCATTGCTGTGTCACGTTTTAATTTATGTTGCTTGTTAATTAAGCATATTAGACACCAATGAACTGGAAATGGCAATTAGCTGTCACGAATTGATTTACAGAAGTGTCAACAAAAAAAAAAAATTGGAATGCTAAATAGGCCAATAAAGTTGGTATAAATATGGAATAAATTTAATTACCACAAATTATGAAAATATATTTTCGAATTTCCATTGAACAAAATTCTGCATTTAGATGGAAATGGATTTCGGGTCCAATTGTCTCAGTTGGAAGTCGTAGTCGTTATCTTGTTATTCAAGCAATCGAATGCGAGCAACAAAATTTAAATATCCCCCGACAGCTTAGCAAACTTTTTGTCTGACCTTCGGGAAGGGAAACGCCCTGCACCTGGCGACCGTTCCTCATTAACATATTGAATTTTAATATCATGTCGACAGAGTTCTGGATCCCAGCCTCACTTGTCTTCGTTTCGGCTGAAAACCACAGAAAACCACAGAAAACATCCCTCGAACGAGCCGCAAAATTCTAAACTACTTTCGTTTGCCATTTGCATTCCAAGCTCAAAGGCCAAAAGAAATTACTGCGGCAAAGCACAAATATAGAAGGAAAACCGGCGGAAAAATGGAAGGGGAAATGGAAAATTCAGGGGCGGCAGGAAGATACATCTGCATATTTTTCTGCTGAGCTGCGGATAGCATGATTAAATGGCTGCCAACGCTCTCAATAATGACGTCAAAAGTATTTGCATTCAAATTGCGATGCAAAGTTGGGGGAAAAAATTCCGAAATGTACAGATGAATTTTTGATTTCGGGTCGGAAAATTGATTTTTAACGAGCCATGTTTAAATGATTTATAAAAAGCCCAAAAAACCGAAAGCTTATTATGAATGCAGTCAGGCAGTCAAGACTTTTGAAGTTTATTAGACGAGGCAGCAGGAACATTAAATTAACGATCGAAGACACTTACTTTCGCAAATCGTGTAAATAATTTATCGATATTTGGCAAAGCCCAAGTCTCTTGCAAACATAAATCTTGGAGAAACTCCACATAAATTTCGGTCGACAAGTGTCCAGTTAAACAGACCACAAGGAAAACCGCGAGTGGGAGTTTCCCGGTTATCCAACCCATTTATTCCTATGCACTGAGCAAAACCAATGGTGTAGGTTTAATGTGATATCCAAAAAAAAATGTATTTTAGAAAAGCTTTATTAAAAGCTAGGAATTTTTTCTTAATTTAATTAAAATCTTCTCTTTTGCAACCATTTTTTTTTAATGTTCATCACTGATCATTTGAAATTTTTAGTGTAGTCCCAACCCAATGACACACATTTGGAGGCGTCCAAAACTTGGCTCCACAATTTGTCATTGGGTCATTTTGCACATTAGAAATGAACTGGCGAAAAAATGCGCTGGGGAGGAGGTGTCCCTTTTTTTCGGTTCTGTAAAATAATAAATCATGTGCACATAACACAGAAGCAGTCGGAAAAGTGCTTGAATGTCTGGCGCCGGAAAAGTTCTGTTTTTCTTCGGATGTCCAAAGACCTTCTGGCGCTGCTTCTTGTGTTCTTCTGACACAGTTTTCAATTTGTGGCTCGGTTTTTTGGCACCCAACTCGGTTCTGAATAATTGCCGCAAAATAGCATAAATCAAATGGGGCTCTAATTACGGTTGCACGCCAGGTGATTAATTAAGCCGCAAAGCAGGTGCATTGAGGGGTGCTCTTGCAGGGTTAATCATTGCACTTAAATATCATAATTTTCAGCTAGGACTGCAAGTGCAGTCGTCTGTGTTTTCAGTATTAAATATCCATTAGGTGGCCAAGGAAAACGGGCCTCGAGTGCGAGTGCAAGTGGTGAACAAGTGACTGACAGTCAGACTGTCAGGGTCGTAATTATCCCATTTGGGCTTTTGTGTGTGTCCTGTGGCCAGGGTTAGCAGTGCGGAAATTGAATTTTAGGTAATTTCGTTGCATGTCATTAGTCGCAATTATGTAATAACAGACTGGAGCCAAGTGTTGATCGATGCACTGGTCCGAACCGAAGAACTGCTCCTGCTGGAGTACCTCCAACCGTCCCCAAATGATAATTAATATGGGGTGTGTAGGTGTGTAAGTGTGTAAGTGGGTGGCAATTAGCTGCATGTTTGCGGTTAAGTTCAGAAATGTTTGCCTTGGCATACTTTTCGACGTTCAAGTGGAACGGCTTTCCATGTTGCAAGTAAAACAGTAAATTTATCATTAATGCCAGCCTTTGTCAAGTCTTTTGAATTCAATTTATTATCTCTATCTGAGTCTGAGTCTCAGAGCCCGATAAAACTAATTAAATAATGGATACTTTTCGGCCAACCGAAAAATCACTGACCCATTTTAGGGTGACCTCAAATTAAATTGTTCGAACTTCCTTTGCACATTTCTCAACTTATTAATTTTCCATTAAATGTTACAAGCAATTAAGCCCGAACAAGCGACCGAAACGAGGACCCTGGCCAAAATTATCAACACGTTCCGCTTATTAACTGCCAGCAAAATGTATATTTATACACATTCGCACATAAATAAAGAAAATGTCGAGCTTCCAAGGCAGAAATCCTTTCGGAAATCTGTCGCAATTGTTTGAGTTATGCCCCCGGCGGCAGGAGATGAGCAGGGTCTGGCATCAGGGAAAATATTGTCGAAATATATTTCCGGCAAAGCGTTGAAAATCAAAAACATTTTGGTTTAAATATTTTGCAAAGTTCTGGAGTGCGTAAATTTTACGCTTTCCTGGATTTGCCACAGACTTTGGGGCAAATTCCTCATGATGCGTCTGATTTTCATTTGCGTTTCTTGTATTTGTATTTGTGCTCTGATTTAGATTTATGCATGATGATATGCTTTAAAGCGGAAGCTAGCAAAGGGATATGTGGAGAGGATTGACGTATACGATGGCTTAGAGGTGGCAGGGTCCCGAGTCCTTGGTTCAGGACATTATGCCTCGAAAGCTGCCAGCAGCCAGCTGCGCCACTTGAAGCAATTTATGAAGCATTTTACTTACTTAGCTGCTGATTTACTTCTGTCTCTCTTTCGCCATTTATATGTATCCCACTCGGCAAGGACCTTCAGCCAAGCACATGTGTTTGCCATTTTTCTATGAATATGAAATAAGTCCCTCCTTCGCATGTGCGTAAATAAACAAACGGAGCAGCAAAAGCCGAGGAAGTAGTGGATGTGCTGGATGTGCTGGAATGCCAGCTAGGACACCCCGAGTTCTAAGTTCTGCGATCGAGTGTTTACCCAAGGCGTTGTCGGCTCCGAATAAAATACACAATGCACACTTTACGGCTGCCAGGCATCTGACTAAATTTAATGTGCGTTTTATGCAAAATGGGATCTTTGAAACCGGAAGAAAAGCACTGGATAGCCCCCATAAGTCTTCATCCGCGTCCTTATCCCCTAAATAATCATCAAGGTTGGGGTCTACTACGCAATTCGATCAATTGCCAGACAACAATGATTATATGTTTTGCTATAAGCTCTACACTGATAAAAACAATTAACAAAATGGTCACAAAGTCATTTAAAATTATGAATTTTTAATGTGTTATCATTATAAATATTTCTAAATATTTCTAAATATTTCTAAATATTTCTAAATATTTCTAAATATTTCTAAATATTTCTAAATATTTCTAAATATTTATGCCTTATTTATCTCGTCTTGTTTGTTAAACCTTCAGCTTAAAACCATAATGCAAAACCAAAGATGCTAAACATTAAAAGAAAATTTGTTTGATTAAAATACTAAGTTATTTTGATGCCTATTTTGAAGGAAACCAATTCAGAAATATTTCTTTAAGACCTCCCTCCGATTGATTGTGTGTTTTTTTCTCTGAGTGCATACTGTTGTAAGGGTGCAGGAGGATTAATCATAATTGCACAAAGCCAAAAGCAAGAATCCAGGACTCTCGGTTCGTTAGGGCATCAGCCGCCGTCTGGCCTTGTGTTGTTGTCTATCCGATGATTTGCCAATTTCGTCTGGCGCTGTCTGTTCGTCTTGTTTACATAAAAATATTGCCAAGATGAACACGACAAACGATGACGATGGCAGGGGCTGGTGTAAAACATAATGAGGCAGACAACGGTCCAGACGAAAGTAAGGAGAAAATGAGGGAAAGCCGGGGAGCCAGACTTTTCCGGCTTTGCAGTTTCTGCCGAATGCAAGTGGTGTAGAAAAAATTGCCAGACAAAGTGGCAAACAGACGTAAATGCGTGACTTTCACTTTGATGTCGCAGCTTGCTGGATTTGTACCAGACAAGTGTCGATTTGACCAAAGCTAGTTCTTCATTCCCGCAAAATACTGCGCTGTTTGCATAGACAGGCACGTGCCATTTGCAAGGGTTCGTCCGTTTCGAGCAGCTGCAAAAGCTGCAAAAGCTGCGAAGTAAGCAATCAGACATGTTTTTTCTATCAGAGGGAATTCAAGTGCAATGAGAAGTCCGAGTACTAGACATTAAGGAGCTCTTTTCAAGGAATATCTCCTCAGAAAACGCTGCAACACCTCACAATGGCAAACCTGATCAAAGCAAGCACAGATTCTACAATCCGCTGCAGGCGAAAGCAAGTCAACTGCAGAAACTTCTAAGAAAAGTAGGAATGCCAGTCAGGTTGCAGGTGACACACCTTGAGGCGTTACACGACCAGATACTGAGCCAGAGACATGCAAATGTTGGACGGACGGACAGACAGACGGACAGACGGCAAAAAGAAGGAGGCTTATCATTTTGGGCGTCTTGAAGTGAAATGAGTGCACCGGCCGCAGGACATGTGAAGGGGGTAATCAAAACCTCAAGCTGATGTCCTGCCACTCTCAGTCCGCTGCAGACAAAGTGCAAGATAATGAAGCGTAAACTTAAAAGAAAAGTGAGCTGGGAAATATAGAAATGTTTGTCCAGACTTTGCGATAAAAGTTGGCCAAGCCAAATTGTGTGTAAATACTTAAAAAGTCGTTAGGATGGTCAAAAGAAGCGGTCAGAGACACCGAGAAGGGCCAAAACAGAGAGAGAAAGAGAGAATGAGGCAGCCAAGTGGAAGGCTTTTAATGAGCAGTTGACGTCATCATCATTAAAAATGTGCAAGCTGCGATTCCGATGATTGATTGGGCTCTGTTTGCTCCTTTCAGCTGCCATTAAGTGCGCCTGGAATCGCGCAGCCATAAATTTGCTTAATCAAACTATTTAGCCAGCCGGTGGATGTAGATGTCACGCATCGGAAGTCAAGCTGCTGCAGCTCCATTACGGTTTCGGCGGGAAGTGGGGGAGGGCAAAAGTTCCGCATCCGTATTCCATATTCCGTAGAGCCGGAGAAGTGAACACTCCGCCGTAACGAGCGCCTCACATGTGTTGCATGCTTTTAGGCGCTGCTCAGACGACACACATAATCCTAATTAATTGCCGGCATCGGCATCGGCATCAGCATTCAGGCAGCAGGATCCAGTCAGGAGCAGAGCCTCTCTGCCGACCCATCCCATTCCATCCCATCCCATCCCATACGTATCCGCCAAGGGAATCCGCAGCGAATGCATTCTGGCAGGTGCATGTGAGCACTTCGTGCGCGCCATTTACCCAGCTAGTGTGTGGACCGGTATGGGAGTGGTGAACTGTGAGAAACTGTCCACCACATGTCCTTAGCTCGGCATTTATGTTTATTTCGGAAGGTTGGCTTTTGAGAACATTTTTAATCGGTTTTGCCATTAAATTACTTTTGTTTTCATATCAAATAAAAAGTGGTCTTAAAGTATGCAACATTATGTTTTGAGTCAGAAAGTCTGAAGTATTAAAACCAAAACATGTCTTTTGCTGCATACTTTTAGACACCGTTTTTAAAGTGATTTTATGTATTGTACCAAAACCGTTTATATTTCAAGGGCATTAAAATTTGTATACTTGGTGGCTACTTAAAATAGAATGAATGTAAATTGCTGTTGCTAATTAAATCTAAATTTTGGGTAAGCAAAGAAATCTGTAAGTATGCCTACGTCTCATGGTTTCCAAGTTCCTTGAGAGCTCTAAGTGGTCAACCATGATTTTTCCCAGTGTGGCTGCCATCTCTTCCGATTCCCAATACCCCCAGTTTCATGCCAGTGCGCCATTATTTCCTTTTGATTTGCTTTGGCTGCAAAAGTCGTGGCGTGTTGAATGGCGTTCTAGTGAGGGGCGACGCATTTCATGCACTCGGCTGAGCTTTCGAGTTGCTTAACGCGTTTGATGTTTGCTACCAGCTCTGCCAGCCCTTTCCCTTTGGCTGCCCGTCCATAAAATGTAATGCATGCTGCGAGTGTGACAGCCTGGCGGGCCTACGAAATATCAACCATAATCCGCATGAGACATCTCGCTGTGGGCTTGGGAAAATGCTGTAACTTTTGAGCCCAGCCAAGTGATGCGAAAACCCGTTGTCAGCTGATGGATAATTGGGATTCACGGATGGAATTTAATTCCTGCATCTTTAAGAGCTAAGTTCTTATTCGCAGACCCGGAAAGCTGCAATTGAGCTGGCCGATCATCCCCAAGGGAAACAGAAAGAAAAATGGCAAAAGTTTTCAACTGTGGCAGGGGGCCCATTAAACCAGCCACAATAATCGATGCTCAAGTCGAACATCGATGTCTTGGTGCCCTGGCTAATTTCCTTGTGTCGAGGGAAAGGCTTAGAGGAAACTGGAAAAGGGACGACTGACTGCTGGTCCCCAAAGTATGCAACACAATTTTAATTAGTTTGGAAAAGTATTTTAATTTTTGCAATTTGAGTGCCAGAAAAAGAGAAATCTTGGAAGCCACTGCCCCTGCGGCTGGCTACCCCCAAATATTTTGGAATTCCTCTCTTTAATGATTATTAACATTATTAGTCGTAATGAGAGTCGTCGACGCGTTTTAAAGTTCCCCATTGAGGCGTGGCAAATGGCAACAGAAATTTGCCTGCTACTCAAAGACCAAAAAACAACAAGAGGTGCGGCAGAAGAAAAAAAAAGTGCCGGCAAAACGCAGAGAAAGTTGAAAAAGTTGGAGAGAAATTTTTGCAATTATTTTTCTGTTTTAATGTAATAGTGGACTCTGCCTTTTTTCAGATTATTTTTTTTTTCTTCGCGCTGCACGTTCTACTGCTGCTTTCAAACAAAAAAGTTTACTTAAACTATGTGGCCAGCCGGGCAGGAATGGGTTTGCCGGACGAAGTCTAGCGGTTGCGTCGGGCACGCCGGAAAATATGCTTTGATTTTTGGCTCGTCCATTGCGTGGAATGCAGTGTTCGAATTGTTTGGTCCCTGGTTTTGTGTGGACTTTTCCCGCACATACATACATATATAAAATTTTATTTTTGGATATGCCAAAGTTTTCAAATTAAAGACTCGGGCTTTGACCGAAAGTTTTGCGGCTGTGGGCGGCTCTTTGCCATGATTAGTGATTGAGTTTGGTTGTTGGACTTACGCAAAAAGCAGAAAAGGCACTTACCTAAAAAGAGAAAAAAAGAACACACAAAAAGTGTTAATTAAAGTTTGAATAAGTAGGAATGTTTTGAGGTATAAACTGTTTAAGCTAGAGCATTAAAGGAATCACCTTATCAGTTCCATTTTCGGCTTCAATTCCCCGGGCAACGCAGAGACTGCTTTGTGAGCATTCCGAACTTAATTACACACAACTCATTTGTCGCACACAAAAACCACTCCCCAAAAGCGCCACATGGGACTCGGTAGTCGGTAGTCTGGGCAATGGAAAAACCGAAACGAGACGATAGACGACACATGACATATAGCAGAAATTGGAGCTGGAGCAGTAGCAGGAGCCAAAATAACAAGGATCCTGTGAGCCGGGGCCCCAGCACAGACTTTTGTTTATATGTCATAAAAATTACTCATACGTTAATAATTTAAACGGATGGCTGTTGATGATGGGTCACAGGCGTCTGCAAATTTGCTTTGGCCATGCGAAAGCCAGGAGCCAGGAGCCAGGACTAACTGTGAATCAATACGAAATGAAAACCAAATAAGCGACGTCCTCGCACTCGTCCTCATCTCCACGTGGCCCTGATCAAACAAACACAAGGCCATCACCTCAAGCTGGTTTGCTCCGATGGCCGATAAGTTTCGCTATCATGTCGGAAAATTCATAACCAGGGCAATGACAGACATTGAGCATATTATCTGATGTCTGTGGGTCTGTGCGGTGGCAAATTCATTATTTCATCAATAAAACAACACAGCCATCAATATTGTGAGCTGTCCATTTTGTTTGCCTTAGCCATTCTGGCCAAGAGATATTCACTCGTAAGTAAATACCCGGCATATGTGACCAAGCATTATATTTATTCATGAAGCGATATTAGAAAGTGGTTATCAATTTCCAATTTGTAGGCAATATCCAGCTAAGTTAGAGTTTCATTTATTGAGTAAAAATTGATAAGCAAGATGAAAAAAACGTATAAAGTATATATATTCTTGATCTAAACAACTAAACAAGTTACTATAGCCATGTCCACCTGTTTGCGGGCTCAGTTTAAGGGCTAGAGTTTTGAATAAACCGATTATTTTAGCTCCAAAATATGTTTTTATAGCACTAAAAATACCTTGATATACGATATGATCAACATAGGTTTACTTAATTTTATAGATGCCATATACTGACCATAAATAGAAAGCTTATCGATTAGAAAGTTTAACATGTTTAATTTTAAGTTTATTTAAGCTATTGAGAGTTTTAAAATTAAATCAAATATTGATTTTAAGTTGGCATCATCACACAGCAGCGCCTCATTTGGATTTTTCCGAACTTTCTTTTTTGGGTTTTAATCGGACTCATCTTTGAAATTCCTTCTCTCAAATGTGGAAAAGGGCCACAACAAGGACGAGCCTTTTCCAAACTCGTCTCTGGTGTAGCCCCGTCTACCGAAGGGGGAAGGGTTTATTCGATTGAGCCAGTAAACGCCTAGGGTATCGTTGATACTCAGTGGTTTCAAGTCGGGCAGCAGCCGGCGCAGGAAGAAGTTGGACTCCAGCAATGGAGCTCTCCGTGAGGTGGGGTTGTAGGCAGAGGCATGCTCTGGATATAAGGGCCACTGTCGAGGGTTGAAAAGCTGTTCTTTGTCATCCTCTCCCTGTGCGGGGATGGGATCACATAGACCGCTCTTCAAGCCAGGAAGTGGTCTTTGCCTAGGTCTTGATAAGGCAGATCTCAAGAATATGCCTAACCCTTGGAAATCCAAATTTTGGCCATTTTCCGGCCTATTGCTCAGTCCCTCATTTCGCATTGCATTAAATTTTTTGCAATCATCCATGCTCTTGGTGCGAATCGGTTTATTTTTATTTCGTAAATTAAGCCATTTCTTTAATTCGTCCTTTTTACTCCAGTTTTTTATTTCTTCGTCCACAAATTTCTTGCGTCGGTTGATCGCCTCACGCCATTTCCTAATTTCAGTCATTGACTCGGTCGATGTACACTTATTTTTATGAGTATTATCCTTTGAACTTTTTCGCGACAGCCCAACCTTATTCTTCAGTTTTTCCAATGAACTTATATTTTTCTCGTCATTTCGATCTTGCTCTATCTTGGCATTTTCTTTCTTTAACTTTTCCTCAGCACTATTGTTTTTTAGCTTTAATTGTTTTTCTGCTCGTTTTTCTTTGTAATCATATTTGGCACACTTTCTCTTTATATCTTCAACCAGCTTCTCTTTTGCAATTTTTCTTCGATTTTCTTCACATTTTCTTTTTAATTCAAATTCTGCACATCTCTTTCTTAGAGAAAACTCTCTACATTTCCTTTCCTGCTCATCTCTTTCACACTGTTTCTTTAGCTTCAGTTCAGCACATTTTTCCTTTAATTCTTCATTGGCGCATTTCTCCTTTAATTCTTCTTCTGCACACTTTTCTAATTTTTTCTTTGCACATGCCTCCTTTAGCTCATTTTCTGCCAATTTCTTCTTTAATTTTTCTATTGCGCAGATGTCCTTAATTTTTTTTTCGACACATTTTTCCTTTATATTATCTTCACATATCTCTTTCAATTTTTCTTCTGCACAATTCTTCTTTAATTCTTCTTCTGCACATTTTTTCTTTAATTCATTATCCAAGCATTTCTTCTTTAATTCCGATGAGTCATTCTTTTTTCTTAGTTTTTTTTCTGAGCGTGTTTTCTTTTCATTATGCCTCCTACATGTTATATTTACCTTGTCTTCTCCCACTTTTTTTTGCAGTTCTTCTAATAGAAGTGATATTTTCTTTAAATAGTTACCCTCGCATTTCCCTACACATATGTTTTTGAGTAAGTCTTTAACGCCTTGCTTCTTTTTTTTCAATGCGATTGAGCATTTTCTTTTCTGTTCGTATTCCTTACATTTTTGCTTTAGGTCTTCATCTTGACATGTCTTTTTTAACTCCTTTTCTGCCGTTTTGCCTTTCGGTTGTGATTTAAGGCATTTCTTCTTAAGCTCTTTGATACGATCCTTCTCGATCTTTTTATTCGCTTTTTTTATAAGTTCGCACTGGTGTATAATAGTCTCAACATGCTTTGTTATACAAATTGTTGGGCTTTCATCGTGCTTACAGATATCGTTTGTTTGATCCGAACGGTAATGCAGATAATGCTTCCAGATATGTTCAACTAAGTTGTTAAGATCTTTGTCCTTGTCCCCATTTTCCGCCGTGCAGATATTTTTACATTCCGACCCGCTTTCCATATTATTCTCCACCAGGTACATACACTTCGCTATTAATTCAGCTATTCGAAATTTTAGCTGATCTCTATCACACAACCTTGGAAAACAAACTGAAAAATCTTCATTAATATTCCCTTGTTTCTTTTCGCACTTATTTTTGAATAGGTCTTGCAAGCTCTCGCCATCTTGACATGATTGTGGTTGATCGTAAAATATTTTGGCATTAGAACAAGGACTAATTTTTGTGGTGTCCGATGCACATTTACTTTCTTTTTTCTCACAAGAAACATTCTGGCTCTTTTTAAAATCATATTCAGGATGTTCCCACAGTTGTTTGTGAATTTGATTTTTGAACAGGTCATTAACCATTACTGGTTTTTGGTCATCCGAAGTATGATATGTACATGTGTCAAGTAATTTGTTGTCTGTTTTGCTTTCAGCTTTTATTTCTTCTGGGGAAGCAAATTTGGGGGTACTTTGTTCAAAGACATTTTCTTTGATCCCGCTGATTTTCTTTTCTTGATCTGAAGAAGGTGATGGTCTCTGTGATTTATGGCAGTCTTCACAAATATTTTGGAGATGGGTTTGACTTTCATCTGGTTTCACAAGATCCTTTTCTTTGGCCGGGGTTAAGGATGTAGAGTTTTTCAAAGATTGCAAACGGCAGTCGGTTTCCTGCTTTGCTGTACTAATTAGCATCTCTTCACGGTTATTCAATAGTTCTATGGGATGTGGTTTTGACGAGTGCTGTAAAGATTCTCCTGGACAACGAACTTCACTGGATTTTGCCATTGATTGATTAGCTAGTGTAATCCCCTCTTGATTCTGTGGACTAGTGGAATTTCGAACAGCCGTGGAAGTGGAATGATCTTTATTTTCTGTCTGCGGGACTCGCTGCTTTGACTTCATCTGCCTATGTTTTCTATATTTATTCTTGTATTGCAAGATTTTATCCTTTTTAGTCGGATTATATCTAATAAGATCTGCTTGCTTGCCCTCATCGAGTTGTTGCCTTACCTCTTTACTTTTAGTCACGATCATGGAAATTAAATTTTGTATTGAACTTTTCGGTTCTTGGTTCTCGTTGTCCTCCGAAACTTTATTGGACGGACGACTCTTTGGGACTTTACCTTTGGTGGACTTCTTTATCTGCATTATCATTTGCTTCCCTTCCCTTTTTCCTCCCACTTTCCGAACTCCGTCTACACCATCGTTCATCAGGTGCTCCAGCCTTTGTACCATTTTGCTGTTGGTTTTACGCTTCAAAGACTGAGGTCGGTGGCGACACTTTGCGCCTTTTTCCAGACAGAAATCCAAATTTTCTGTGCCAGTTTTCTTATGGTAAGTCCGACCTTTCCGGTTAACCTGAAAGACATCCTGAGGCTGACTGTATCCATGGATTTTAAAATCGCGACCTTGGCCCACAATGCATACCTTTTGATGAACATATTTGATTTTATGTGGGGAACAGGGCGAGTTCAGGTCGCTGGAAAGAATGTCGCAGGACATTGGAGGATCAAACAGCAACGAGGTAAGCAATGGCTGACGGCCGAAACGACTGGAGTGAGAGTCATTGCTCTTGAATTTTTGCCAGGACTGGATGAAAGGTCTAGGCCGAGGACATATTAGCAAACTTTGCAAACGCGAACTTATGCACCTGCGAAACATTCCACAACGAGATCTGCTGACGAATCCTTGAAGGCGCTGCGGTTGCCAATAAATTTTGGATGGTTGTAAATAAAAAACTAAGGCCAAGTTTTCGTGGGGGAAGATTTTATTATAAAACTAAATAAAGTGAAAGAAAATTCATGACAGCTTAAGGGGTCAAAAAACATTTTGTTATCGGGATAAACTATCGTCGAAGGCAGGGAATGACGTTGATGGCCTGGACACATGGGCCTTTTAAAGACCCATCGCCACAGCTTTTATATACCATAGGCTTTTGACGACACCGACAGCATTTCATTTATGTCGTCTAAGTTGGTCAAGACCACGGTGGCGATCGCAGAGCGATCGCCCAGTTGGTGCAGTCGTTCACATTTGACAGCTGTTCTTCAAATATGGAACCAAATTAAACTTGTCCCGCGGAATCTGTTGCATCAACTGGAGGACAAGCGGTCTTGACGTCTCGCCGTCGTCCTCTAAACCATATGTGTCGTGTCGCCAGTGGGCGCAGTATCAGCCTCTAGTCTTTGTAGAATCGCAGTTATTGAGAGAAATTTCGAAAAATACGCTTAATATGTTCAAAAAGCATACCGTAGTCTTTTCATATCTGCTTTACTTGGAAAAGTCAGCCTTGATTTTATTCAGCAGATCCTCCGTTGGGTGGTGTCTTCTTTTTTTCGACTTCTCCTTGGCAATCGCTTTTTTTCTTCTGATCAAATTTATCACATTCTTTCAAAACCTTATCCTCTTCACATTTTTTTTGCAGCTCTTCTTCCTCTTGTTGCTTTCTTAGTTCTTCCTGTTTCGCAATATCCTCAATTTTTCGATTCAGAATGCTTTCTTCTTTCTTTAGCTCCGCGAGCTTTTTCTTCAGCGCCTCGCATTTTTTCTTCTTGGCTTCCTCTTCACATTTTTTCTTTAAAGCCTCCTCATCGCATTTTCTTAGTTGCTCTTCAACTTTGCATTTTCTCTTTTGCTCTTCCTCTTCGCATTTCTTTTTAAGTGCTTCTTCTTTGCATTTTTTTACAGGATCTTCCTCATTGCATTTGGGCTTTGAATCCTCCTCTTTATCTTTTTTCTTCAACTCTTCTTCTTTTTTTATTTCCTCTTCACGTTTTTTCTTTAGCCCTTCACATTTTTTTCTTCGAGCTTCCTCTTCGCACTTTTTCTTTACATCCTCAGCGCTTTCTTTTTTTTCGCATTGTTTCTTCAGCTCACATTCTTTTTTCTTTATATCGTCCTGTGTTTTCTTAAGCTCTTCGCATGTTCTCTCTCGTTCTTCCTCTTTACATTTTTTTATTCTCTCCTCCTCTTCGCACTTTTTCATCCTCTCTTCTTCATCGCATTTTCTTTTGAGCCTTGCGTCTGCACATTTTTTTATAAACGCACACTTTTCGATATCAGCTTCCAGTTCCTTCATTTGACACTCTTTATTTTTTTCATCATCCTCGCATATTTTTAGCATTATTTTCTTCACTTCCGCGGAAATTTCACAAAAATCGACATTATTTTTTTCAGTTAATTCTTGAATAAGCGGGCAATTGTCTTTCCATTTCTTCTCTACGCACTTCTTGATATTTGCTCTTCCAGAGTCCTCAGTGCCCGTGCAGTCGGTGAGATTGTCTTCGACTTCTTCCTGTTCCTCGCACTTATTCTCCTTTTTTGGTTCGCCCCAGGACTCATCACACATTTTCCTGATGACCATTGTGCGGCACCTTTTTTTTATTTGCTCCTTAAGACAACCCTCGACGGCATCCACTTTCTTCTTCTCCTTGGGACTTAATCGCTTTTGGGCCTGACTTATGTCCTCCCATTCTTCCTTTATGCACTCCTCCATCTTTTGGTCATATGGAGACTTGGTCTTTCCCCCTGAAACTTTAGGATCTTTTGGACATTTAGTATCCTTTTTGGGCGGCACTGGGCAGATCTGATCCTCTTCTGTGTTCTCTTTCATTTTTTTGTCGTTCTTGGCGTTGTTGGCTTCATTCTCTAATTTTTTTAAATCGGTTTCCACTTTAGCATCTATTGGGCATTCCTCCTCTTTAGGTTTTTCTTTGTTCTCTATTTTCTTATCCTTGATAGCATCTTTGGGTTTCTCACAAACCTCATTTTGTTTAGAATCTTCGCATTTGTCCTTAGGCACTTCCTTACAATTAACCAAAATGGGAACTTTTGCAGGGTCGTCTTTCTGTTTTGGCGATTGTTTAGAGTCATTTTTACCTTTCCCTTTTGGTTCGTCCTTGGAATTATCCTTTTTGATATTCTTCTTGGCGCTTTCAGTGTTTCCTTCTTTCTTTTGATCCTCCTGGCACTCCCATTCCTCCAACTCTGCTTTAAGGAGTTTGGCAGTGTCATCCATGCACTTCTGGAGCTGTTCGGAATCTTGTGCAATAGCTGCCAGTTTCTCCGTCTCTTTTTCGGTCTGTTTCGCTTTGTGGTCCTCGCACTCCTCCACTGAGCTCTCCTTCTTCTTGGGAGGACACTTCTTCATCAATTCCTTCATTTTCTTCTCTTTGATCAGTCTCTCGTAGAGGAGCTTTAGCTCCTGCTCCTGGCAGTACTTCTGCATCACTGACTTTAGGCAAATTTTCTTGACGCCTGCCATCACGCAGTCCATCAAGTCGCCCATGGCCTTTTGCTCCTCCGCTGTCATGCACTCCACTTTCGCCTTCAGCGCCTTCTCCATCTGCTCGATGCACTTGTGTAGCTCGCTTTTAAGGCGGGCGACATCCTGCTTGGCTGCTTCCTTCTTCATGTCCGCCCTCTTTTTCTTCATTGCAAGTGCTTTTTGCTTCTTGCAAGCCTTATAAGCATCGCAATCCATGAGAGATGGATCGCAGTAGTTGCGCAGCTGGCACTGGAGCACGATGGCCACGGTTCCCCGACTCTGAGGACAGGACATCCCCGTGGCCAGGTAGCCAATAAGTTTTGAGCCCATTGCTTAAATTAGAGCCCCCACGAGCCACTTCTTAAAAACTAAAAAATTTTGTTTGTCGTAATTGTAAAATAGAAATTTAGTAGAAATTGGGTCCGAAAGTTAAAAGAACATAAGCATAAACGGAAAGCATACTCCAAGACGGAAAGCTTACTCTGTTAAACAAATCTTAATTTAACATACAAAAATTTAAAATTTTAGCTACGTCCTATTCCCTCAACGTAAATCACAACATAAGGGTGCATCAAGTACTTAAAATACTTACCGTAAGCCCCCAAACTCAAAAAACAACTTGCTGTAAATTGAGTTTTGAGTAAATAAATGTTACTATTTTTTAAATTATAAAAAAGAAAAACCTGAAAACTAAAACCGAACATTCACTGACCTTTAACTAAAACATACTTTTTCTTCCGATTCATTTCTTAAATCACTGTTTGATCGTTTGATTGATGTTCAGCTACATGAGTACCAAAGACAAAGTAAGTTGCTAAATAAACCCGTTGTGGTCTCGTTTCCTAAGTGGCGTTGAAACAAGTACAAGAGGGGGTAGAACTGACACAATGGAAAATGCTCGCCTTGCCGGCGTCAAAAATTTGCCAATCTTTGCACAAACCTCAGAAATGACAACAGCGCACCAGAGCCACAACCACGACATAGTTACACACACATCCCACCGAAAGAGCCAACGGCAGACAAACACTTTTGTCGAACATAAAATCGAGCACAACTTAATTAAATGTTAAAAGCGCGACCGCAGCGCGTCTGTGGCTGCCAAAGGTGTGAATACGAAGGGGTTGATGGGTTGATGTGCTGATGGGTGAATGGTGGATGGTGGCTGGTGGCTGGGGGTGGGCTTTTCGGGGGGGCAGGGAATGCCCCCGTTATCATCCGGAAAGACGCTGACAGACGCTAACTTCATTTTCGGGGAACTGCTTGAAATTAGCAAACCTGTCAACTGTCAGCGGCGGGAGTGTTTGTGAGTTGAAGTGCGGCCAGATGTTAGTATGCGGGTTGGTGGTAAAATGCTGAGGTGTGAGGCGAGGCCTTCGGCGAAGACAAGAGACAATGCGCCCCACCTGTGCTTCAACACCTTCAACCCCCCGCCTCCCCTATAAGGAAGTTGCCCTGCCAACTTTGCAGTCTATACAGGAGCCTCCATGGGTGGGTGGTGCGCGGTGAATTATGGCATGTCTACTTCCGCCCGCCGACCCATGCGTTGTTTGTAATTTGTTAATTTCCCGCATTTAGAAATTAATTTTCACTTCATGCGCCGCCAAGCAGACAACACAACAGACAGGTGAGTTCGAGTCGGCCTACCAGGCAACACTGTCGCACATAGGTGTGCTTTAACTTTCTGCCGCACACACTGGCATTACAAACTGGCACCGCAATTACGAGTGTGTGCCTCCAACCTCACCTTCACCCCGCTACCCGCCGCCCGCCGCCCACCGCCCACCGCCCACCGAGCTCATTGCGTATTTAAATTCCTTTATGTTGTCATTAATTTCTGCAACTTGTTCACCAGTGTAGCTGTTAATTTTTAAGCGAAAGCTCGGCCCGAGTTTGACACGTTTACATTTTAATTGCGCACATGTGTACGGGGAAATGCTCATTTCATTGTTGATTCGAGCGGGCGTAAATGCGAAAAATGGGTGTGCGGCGTGTAAAACTTTAATTGCTTTATTATGTCGGCCAAGAGCCAGGTGCGGAACATCCCGAGGAAATCCAAATCGCAGCCTACTTTCGCGAGTAATTGGGACAAGAAGCTTGAGACCCCTTTAAGTCTGCAATACTCTGATATTAAGCTGTTACTTTGTTGTTAACTCCACAGTAATTATGACTACTTTTTGCTGAATAATTGCATGGCATAACTGATCTTTCTATATCCTCATCAAGTGCAATCGTGGTTTTATATGAATTTACGACAGTAGAAAACCAAAGTAGACCCAGAATAATCTGTTAAACCCTGCATTTGATTTAAACCTAGTTCCTGAGCCTAACTTTTCTAAATTTGATGTTTCAATTTTAAAATTTAAATTTTAAGTTATGGCGACGACGGGACGTCATCTCTCACGATCTCTTGTGTACGTGCTAAAGCAGTCCAGATGGAACCGAATGCTTTTGAAGTCCCACACAAATTTGCACCCCGTATCCGTTTACTCAGGTCAACCTCGAGTGTTTAGCAGCAAATCCAATGCAGACGATGGTTGTGGTTACAGAAAGAAGGGCAAGAAGTCAAATTGCACATCTTATAAGAAAAATCCCTGTATCGAAGGTGATCAGCCGCCGGAAATGGAAACTCCCGAGCCGGTTAACAACCAGCTGAGGATGCAAAAGAGAAGAAAATTCATGGAGGAAAAGATGTGTAAAGATTTGTCGGAAGATTTGGATTCCAAGTGCGAAGGTGACCCATGTTCATCTAACTCAAAACCAGTTTTGATCAAGGGAAGGCATAAAGTCCGAATCTCTATGAGCTGGGACCAAGTCAACGGCTGTTTGCTGTATCTTTCGAAGCTAAAAGAATCTGGAACGGGCATTCCTCCCGGTCCCACATACCTTAATCACCATCGATCGTTTTGCAAAAAGGTCGATGAGAATAAATGTCAGATCAAAAAGGACGAGGAGGATGACTGCGTTTTTGAGCCTCTGCCAAAGCCGGTTCCTCCTAAATGTACAAGGATATCCAGGAAGCGAAAACATTTACTCGAACTGAAGAAAAGGGCGGCCGAAGCTGAAGCTGTTGGGAAACCGGAAGCGGAATCCTCTGTAAAAAACCTCGACGAATCTGTTGAGGCATTAAAGCACAGCTGCATGCTAGCATCCCAGAAGAAGGATTGTGAGCAAAAGCAGTTCAAGGCCCTTTGCGAAGAATTGCGATCTTCAGAATCGCAAGATGACCCCAAATCGGTAGATAGCCTGGTTAAGTGCATGCTAGCTGGAATAAGAAAAGCCTGTGCCGTTCATGCCCAGAAGATGGTCTGCCAGCAAAAGTACGCCAAGGAAATTGCCGCTGCAGAAGCTGCAAAGAAGGAAAAGGAGAAACGGGAGGGAAAGCCAATAGATTGTGAAAAAGTCGAAGAGGAGGAGGTCGAAGTCCAAAATGGCCGGATGAGTATGGCCGAAAAGAAAAAGGCCCAAGAAGAAGTCGAGCTCAAGCGAATACTTGCAGAAATTAAAGCCAAGTGCAAAAAGCGGCGCGAAGAAGCCGAACTTGAAAAGAAACGTGAAGAGGAAGAAAGAATGAAGAAATGCGAAGAAGCCGAGCGAAAAAAGTGCGAAGAAGCTGAGCGTAAAAAGAAATGCGAGGAAGAAGCGGCCAAAAAGAAATGTGAGGAAGCTGCGGCCAAGAAGAAATGTGAAGAAGCTGCGGCCAAAAAGAAATGTGAAGAAGCTGCGGCCAAGAAGAAATGTGAAGAAGCTGCGGCCAAGAAGAAATGTGAAGAAGCTGCGGCCAAAAAGAAATGTGAAGAAGCTGCGGCCAAGAAGAAATGTGAAGAATCTGCGGCCAAAAAGAAATGTGAAGAAGCTGCGGCCAAGAAGAAATGTGAAGAAGCTGCGGCCAAAAAGAAATGTGAAGAAGCTGCGGCCAAGAAGAAATGTGAAGAAGCTGCGGCCAAAAAGAAATGTGAGGAAGCTGCGGCCAAGAAGAAATGTGAAGAAGCTGCGGCCAAAAAGAAATGTGAAGAAGCTGCGGCCAAGAAGAAATGTGATGAAGCTGCGGCCAAGAAGAAATGTGAAGAAGCTGCGGCCAAAAAGAAATGTGAAGAAGCTGCGGCCAAGAAGAAATGTGAGGAAGCTGCGGCCAAAAAGAAATGTGAAGCTGCGGCCAAGAAGAAATGTGAAGAAGCTGCGGCCAAGAAGAAATGTGAAGAAGCTGCGGCCAAGAAGAAATGTGAAGAAGCTGCGGCCAAAAAGAAATGTGAAGAAGCTGCGGCCAAGAAGAAATGTGAAGAAGCTGCGGCCAAAAAGAAATGTGAAGAAGCTGCGGCCAAGAAGAAATGTGAAGAAGCTGCGGCCAAAAAGAAATGTGAAGAAGCTGCGGCCAAGAAGAAATGTGAGGAAGCTGCGGCCAAAAAGAAATGTGAAGCTGCAGCCACGAAGAAATGTGAAGAAGCTGCGGCCAAGAAGAAATGTGAAGAAGCTGCGGCCAAAAAGAAATGTGAAGAAGCTGCGGCCAAGAAGAAATGTGAAGAAGCTGCGGCCAAGAAGAAATGTGAGGAAGCAGCGGTCAAGAAGAAATGTGAAGAAGCTGCCAAGAAGAAATGTGAAGAAGCTGCGGCAAAACAAAAATGCGAAGAAGCAGCGGCAAAGAAGAAATGTGAAGAAGCAGCAGCGAAAAAGAAATGTGAAGAAACGGCCAAAATGAAATGTGATGTAGCTGCCGCACAAAAGAAAAAGTGTGAAGAACCCGACCAGAAGAAGAAATGAGAAGCCGAGAAGTAACAAAAATGTGAAGGGGCAGAGATAAAGAAAAAATGTGAGGAAGCTGAAACAAAAAACAAAAAAAAGTCAGGAAGCCAAAAAAAAGAAAAAATGTAATGAAGCCGAAAAAAACACAAAATGTGAAATGGCCGAGTTTAAGCAAAAATGTGATGATCTGAAAAAAAAGCTTTAGGGCACAAACTGCGATGCAAAGGAGTACAAAAAAGTAAATTAGGGGTTCCCCAAAAGTTAAAGAGCACGGAGAAGTGAGAGATGGTGTCCCAGGATGAAGGCATGCTACCGGCTGAGTTCTTACTGTAATTTTTGTTTAACAAGATTAAATAAAATTGCATATTGAAATCTGAGAGAAAAGTGCAGAAACTCTGAAACAGAAACTTGGCAAGAACGCGCCCGAATCCATACCAAAATAAAGTCAAAAACTTAATGTTTGCTGATTAATGCTAGTCTTTAAGCCTGGTTGGTTTCAACGCTAAGGCATTAAAGCTGTTGAGCTGGAGGCTGGCTTCATCGTCGGCGGATAAACCACTATTGTTTGGTCGAGGAAATGCCAACAGAGCCGCTAAGTACAGACTTGGTGGGGAACAATCCTTATAAAGAGTGAGTTGAGAAGGCCGGCAAACAATTGTGCCCGCTTGTCTTGTTTATTGTCATCCATCATGCCAAGGCCTCCGGTGGGTGGGTGAGCTTGTCTTCAAGCTCCGATTTGTGGCTGCCAGCCGGCAAGGTGGCCAAATGGGAGATGGGACCTTAACGAGTAGAGTTTACTCATTCAGTCGGCGAGTCGAGAGTAGAGTCTCTTACCCAGCCTCGGCCTCATTTAGACGTTTTGCTGCGCGTTTGCCATTGTCAACTATTCTGCTACCCATCTCCATTGCTCTTGTAACATTTCCACAAGGTTCTTTTTTCCGTTGCTGCTGCTGCTTTTGCTGTGGCTGTGGCTGTAGCTGCTGATTGTTGCACAAGGATTTGTCAAGGATAAAACACTCGAGGGCAGTCAGTCGACATTGTCGTAGTCGTTGTCGTCACCGACGCTGCTTCATCATGGTTACGATTATGATTATGTAGCGTCAGTTGTCCTGGCTCGGTTGAATGGCATCCGGGGTTGGGGTCCTTTTCACACGTGGCACTATGCAATGGTTATTGATTTTCCGAACGGAATGCATTCGAATGCGCTGCTAAGTGCAGTCCGTGTGCCCTTGGATTTGCCAGGACATTGCACTGAGAACTAAAGTGGAAATAAGGAAAACCTATGCTTTCTCGTGCTGGCAGCAAAATTCATTCAGGAAGTTCAAATTTGTTAGGTACGTAATGCACGCTTTAGAGTATTAATACTACCATAACGGGTTTTAAATTACTTATAAAACGTGTAGTTTGCAGTTTGGGGTCAGAATCTGGTGATTTCAGAACCCTTGTGTTTACTTTTTCTTAAAATAGTTTTAGATCAACTGTAGTAAAAACTGAAGTGGTCCTTTATACCTTGTATACAGCCACCATATCATGCTTGGTCCTGTAAAGAATTTTGAAAAGTGTATGGGTATGCTCAACAATGCAGCTAGAATAGAAGTTTTGCTCAAAGCATTTTCTATACACCCGCTATATTTGCAATAGGCGACCTTGGGGCTTACAGCTTACATGCTCTAAATTTGAGTAAATCTATTTGCTCTGGCAAGCGTGCTGCACTTTTTCGGTGTCCCCAATTTCGCTGTTTGCGACAACCCAAATTCGTTTGGCAAACACATTTCGCCAGCCAAATGCCAAATGCAAAGCAGGCAGTGGCAGCCAGCCACTGCGGTTGCCAAATTATATGCAACTGCGGTGGCGTGGGCGTGGCATGCGGTTAGTTAAACAAAAATGCCATGCCCAAAATAACTGGGTCAGAGGCCCAAAGAAATACACTCTCAACGCCAGACGCATTAAAGCCAAATTACCTAGCTGCCGAAACAGTCCGCAGCAGTCAAAGTTCAACGGGGCTACACAGGACGTAACAGTAGTACAACATTGTCTCAAACACTCGACAAAGTTTCGGTTTCACTTTGGTTGTTGCCTCGATTTTGGTCGCTTTCGTTGTTGTCAGCTTCCGGCAGGTCCCACCTGTTCCGCTTGATTGTTCTCGGTGCTTCGGCTCCAACTCCCTCGTCATGAAAGGTTAATGACGGCTGCTGTCAGCGCCGAAGGTCACATCTAACGCCGACACCCAACCACCCACATCGGGCACCATCCACGTTGGGGGGTCAAGCGTGCAGCAGGTAAAAGTTTCGCTTCCCGGACCAAAAAACTCGAGGGACAAGGGCGCTCGGGAAACTCCGGACCTGTGCTAAATAGCAGGGCTTCTGGGAGGGGACTTGGGGAGGGGGGGTAGCAGAGCGTAAAAGTTAAATGAAACGAAACACGTTAATGGCCTCTGGGAGGAAATAAGCGGGGTGGGGGGTTGGTTATGTTGTCCTGAAAGGTGAGAGGCTGTCCTGTTAAAGCCACGCTCCGTGGAAAGTGAAATCGCCAGCTTGGCAAGTTGGCAGTCCTGGCCAAGAGCCGTGTAATAAAATGATATCGTTGGCTTAGTTAAGTAGCAATAAGCTGGAAAAGGTAGCCCGAAATTCGTTGGGCGCCACCTCTCAATCACAGCGTTTCAGGTTGATATTAAGTTATTTAGGCTATTTAGACGCCAAGTGAAGACCTCTTCGGGCATCTCGACTGGGTCGTTAAAGCCAAATTACGGTATATTAGGTTACCGTTAGGCGAGGCGACGACCGACTTTTCCCAACTTGGCCCCCATTTCGGGAATGCCACTACTGCTAATAGTGCTGCTAATTAACATCCTTAAAGCCGTGGTCTTTGCGAAATTTCCCTAGCTTAAAGCCATTCGATTTTCCCTCGCCACACCGAACTTGCACTCAATTGTTAAAGCACACAAAGAAAACGGCGCCAAGAAGCGCAAAAGGAAGGAGCAGCCAAAAAAAAAAGAAAAGTACAAAGAATTATGTATCACTTCGTTTCGACTTACTTCCACTTAATTTATTTTCACTTGCTTTTACCAGCAAAGGGCGAGCAAAAGAAAAGCCGAGCGGATGGGACGGCAACTTTGTCCTGAGCCTGGGAAAACGAAAGAAGTCGAAAAGCAGAAGGAACTGTACAATATACAGTTGGTCAATAAAGTATGGACACATTCAGGGCTTAAAAAAGGTGATATATATCGCATTTATGTGATAAATTACTCAAAGACAGCTGTAAAGGAAATATAATTGAAATAGTTACACGCCTGCACTAATTGATTTTAATTAAATGCATTTGTTATTGTCTTGATTTTATTGATTTTATTCATTATCGAGCAAATAGAGTTAATTATGACATGATGATGCTGGACAAATAAACTTAGCAAAAACAGACAGATTAAATCTTGAATATAATCTTCCTCTTTATCTTCTTATAATTTTAATGAATTTAAATTTATTTAAGTATTTCGCTAGAGAACACAATAACATGATGATTCTCAATAATGAGAAGTCAACAAAATTATTACAAATATACAGACATTTTGATCTAGAAATTCATTTTATCTTGATCTCTTTTAGAAACTAGCCTCGAATGGTATTCAGACTTGGTGTTCCCACTGTCCTCTTTTGGCCAAAAGCGGAAAAGGCCCGCAGGCGTTAGCCAACAACTGGCAACAACTTTAAAGCGGCTTTCCGTCTGTCTGCGAAAAGCATTTGACTTTGCATTTGCCTGCGACTGCAGGTTGCAACGCTTTCGGCCTTCACACCTTTTGTTGGCCTGCTGCTGCTACTGCCGCTACTGCTGCTCCCATTTCCATTTACCATTTTGCACCGACTGCTCGGGCTTCGGAAAACGCCTTTCGAGTGGCCGGCGCATTAATTCTCAGGTGTGCAATTTAGTGTGCGGCCAATTTCGGTCGGTCTGGACAGGAAGAGGAAGCCCAGAAGCGTCTGTTACGTGTTGACCACACGATGGCGTTTTTTAAGGGGGCTTTGGAGGGGCTTTCCCAGGGGTCACTAGAGAGTGAGCTTGAAATGTTAGGAAATTTTAAACGGAAGTTCGCGTTTTCTGCCCTTTGCGGTTCTTATTGTTAGCTGCGTTTCCGCTTTTCTGGTATTTTTGGCCTCTCGTTCTGCGATCCGTGCACGTTTCCGGCTAAAACAACAGGGCTTAAAGAGCTGCTGACCACATTTTTCCACTCACGTCTTTAACGAAAACTTTGAGGCAAACTTTACGCTAAACTTTACAATGGACTACATTTGCTATGCCATGTTTAACAGCACAAAAAAATGACAGCGTAGAAGGTTAAGACGAAAACTATGGACAGCAAAATGGCGCCGGCTATAATTTACAGAGCACGAGCACGACAAAAGCGGTGGAAAAGGAAAATAAATGTATAAGAAGCGGACAACTTGAAAAACTTTTAATAATTGCATTTTGCGCAAACACCAGCAATAGCAGCAGCAGCATCGACTTCAACTGGCGCACATAATAAACTCCGCCACCCACCACCAAGGCCATCCAAAACCACCCACTGCAGCTTGTGCATCGACACCCGAGCAACAAGACAATCAGCTAAGAGATACTCAGATACCCGCCAGTCGGCGGGGGAGAACAGGCGATGACTGGGCCACAAAAATAACCGAAAAGTAATTCCCCCACAAAAGTAAACTTGAGCGAGCGTACAAAAGTCGAGTTTTAAAATAAACTTGCAGCCAGCTCTATTTTTCTTTCCATCGGATCGCCAGGGAACGGGCAGGGCCGCCTTGTTGGAGTTGGTTAGCGAATAGACAAAAGTCGGGGGCGCCACTTGAGGCACAAAAGGCGCATTTTCAATGAAAGAAAAGTGGCTAACTAAGTCGCCGACTTGGCAGCTTCCCCACCAAAACCCATCCTCGCCACCAGTGCAGCAGTTTCGGGCGCCTCAAGAGCCCCTCCTACCCTGTCGTCCCCATTTGTGGGCCAAGAAATATGGCTTGCGGTCGGTGCTCTTGGAAAATCAGTAGCTCCAGAAATTTAAGCAGCTTAAAAATACAAATTTCTGCACTCTCCCGGGACAATATCTATTCAAATGTAGGTTACTTTATGAACTACATTTAAGAAACGAGAGGCGCAAGTAGTAAAATATATCATTAATTGGAAATTAAAGGGGTTTACAGATATTTTTGTGGACACAAAACTATTTAGCTCACCTCCATCAATAATTTATAGAACCTCATAGAAATATTTCAGAAAAACTCTTTTATAAAGACTTAAGTCAGATTGATCCTAAATCTTTTAGTAAAATACAAATTACAAATACTTAATGACGGTTTTAAACCAAATATATTTCTATTAAGCCCCAGATGGTAAATATTTGAGAGCCGGCAAAGTGAAGTATGTTCTAAAGTACCAACCTTGAAAACGTAATAAAAGATAAAATAAAACAACTTGAGACACGACTAATA